TGTGGGCATTAAAAGGAAGTCAGGGGTCTCCAGTGACATGGTCCCACTGCTATCCCCTATAGAGTTTTTGCCCACATCAGGAGCCAGGTTAATGAGTTGGACATTTCTTTGTGATGTCTCTAGGTCCTGGGAGGTGATACCAAGTCCATCGATTTTTAAAGTTTCTTTGAGGACATAGAAAATTTTTCATTCTATATACTGAGTTTTTCCTTGTTAGAGGAATCAGAGTAATGTTACAAAACTCTTCATTGTCAATATTTTATTTATTATGGAAAGCCAAGCTAGAAGTTCTGAGCAGAGAAAAATATGACTCTTAATTTCTCTGAACATGGACTATTATGTATGTCTATTAGTGTGTGCTGTAGGCATGTGTGACTTTCATTATTTGTCTCCTACTCTTTGCCTTTCTCTCCCTCCCATTACTTTTCTTTTTCCTTTTGTTTTGTGTGTTTACAGAGGTACAATGTATGCCTATAAGAATGTCTTTCTACTTAAGAGTTTCACTGAGGGAACTCAGTAACTCTACACATTCTTTTTTTTTTGGGAGTTCTCTGCCAGCTGTCACCTTTCAACTCTGTGTGTGTGCGTGTGCATGTGTGTGTGTGTGTGTGTGTGTGCGTGTGTGCGCACACGTACCTGGGCACTGTCCCTTAGCTTTTGTACTCAAGACTAATGCTGTACTACTTGAGCTACATCTCCATTTCTAGGTGTGTGTGTGTGTGTTTGCATGTGTGCACACTGTGGTTAAGTAGAGATAAGGTTCTCATAGATTTTCCTGCCCAGGCTGGCTTTGAACTGCAATCCTCAGATCTCAGTCTCGTGAGTAGCTAGGATTACAGGTATGAGCCACCAGTGCCCAGCTTCAACCCGCTTTGAAACTTAACTCCAGAGGAGATGAATGGTTGCATTTCTCCCTTAAAAAGATCCATTCACAAGGGTATAAAATTGTCAGAGGCTACTAATAGAAACACGGAGAAAAGTGTAGTCTACAATGCAAGAGCCTCTTGCTCCCACATGGGTTCTAGGGCTGCTCCAGACCTGAAGAATCAAAGGTCTAAGCTCTGTTCTCAGCTTTTTCTATTGCTCTTGCCAGCAGTTAAATTGCTATTTCATTGTTGCTGCTTTTCCCACTTTTTCTACCTGACTTGGTTTTGGATGGCCAAAATGGAGCAGCAGAGATTCTTCAAAAGTAGGTATGGAATCAAAAGCTCAATTGTTTTGTTTTGGGTTTTTTTTGGAATTTAGTTATGCAGTTATGGTTTTCTGAATTCCCTGTTCCCAAAATGATATGCTGTTGCAGTGAATAGACTTACACTAAAGAAAGTGTATGTGTTTGATTTCAGAGAAGCTGCCAGATTGAAACCACAAATATTTAAGGTGGTCAGGCAGGAATGGCATTCTGAAGCACTAAGTAACATGTTGTTATCAAGGTTTTAAAAACAGTGCATTCTCTTTTTATGGAGCTGTTTTCAGGAATCATGGTGTTTCAATGTGTACTATGTCCAGAATTGAGCACTTTAGAGAGCTCATACAGAGAAGCCAAATATAAGCTTCTTAATACCATATAGCTCTAACTTCAGATCTTGAGGGTTTTTTTTTTTGTTGTTGAGGATGTCATTGTAGGCTTCTCATTTTATGGGGACCATGGGTAGTATATTTCTTTTTGTTGTTGTTGTTGATCGTGGGGCTTGAATTCTGGGTCTGAGCACTGTCCCTCAGCTCTTCAGCTCAAGGCTAGCGTTCTACCACTTGAGCTACAGCGCCACTTCCGGTTTTCTGGTGGTTTATTGGAGATAAGAGTTTCACGGATTTTCCTGCCCAGGCTTGCTTTGAACCGCAATCTTCAGATCTCAGCCTCCTGAGTAGCTAAGATTACAGGTGTGAGTCACGGGCGCCCAGCTTGGAGGACAAACTCTTGAGCCTCCTTTCTCTTAGCTATTGGTTGACAAAAAGGAGGACTATAGATAGGATCTCTTTCCCTTTGAAAACCTTATTGACAGAACACTGATAGGGAGGCTGGTAATGATGGAAGTTTAGATCTTACTAAATCTGGAAATCATGGTTCCTAATCTTGACCAGATGCAGGCTGCTTTTAGGGGTTCAGGATAGCTCATTGCCAGGCCAGTGTAGTAGAATTTCATCTCTGAGTATGATCCTTTTCTAGTACTGTAGTAAGGACATCTGAGAACACTTTGGTATTTTTTTCCAGAAAGGCTTGGCCCCTTTTGAATTGTTGTTAAGGTTCTAATGTGAGGGATATGATTTGCTACTCAGAATTAAGAGAAAATTCTTCTCTCCAAAGGCTCCAGAAAATATCTCCATAGATAACCCATCCATAAAGCATCTAGATATCCCCTAACAGTACCAACTGCTTGAAATAGTTGATTTGAGAAGAAAATAAATATAAGGGACTAGGAATGTGCTTTAGTGGTAAGAGTGCTTGGCCTAGCATGCATGAAGCCCTGGGTTCGATTCCTTAGCACCACATAAACAGAGAAAGCCAGAAGTGGTGTTGTGGCTCAAGTGGTAGAGTGCTAGCCTTGAGTAAAAGAAGCTCAGAGACAGTGCCCAGGCCCTGAGTTCAAGCTCCAAGACTGGCCAAAAAAAAAGGAGGTTCCATTTAACAAGTAGTTTATAAATACAATACATTTTGATCAGTGTCACCTCCTTCAACATTCTCACCCCACTTCCACCCATCCCCTTCCTTTGTGGTATTGCAGTGGATTTTTAATTGCATCTTCCCCACTTTCCCTGTTCATTTTTCTACCTCTCTTCCTTGTCCCTGCCCCTGCCCTGGTGCTGATTTTCTTGAGTTCTGACCTAGTCTTTCTTTCTTTCTTCTTCTTTTTTTTTTTTTTTTTGGTCAGTTGTGGGGCTTGAACTCTGGGTCTGGGTGCTGTCCCTGAGCTTTTCAGCTCAAGGTGAGCGCTCTACCAGTTGAGCCACAGCACCACTTCCCATTTTCTGGTGGTTAATTGGAGATAAGAGTCTCTCGGACTTTCCTGCCCAGGCTGGCTCTGAACCATGATCCTCAGATCTCAGCCTCCTGAGTAGCTAGGATTATAGATGCGAGCCACTGGTACCTGGCTTGACCTAGTCTTTCTAAAAAAAAAAATTATACTATTTGAGCTCTCCTTTGAGTCTATTATACTTCAGTTAATTCATTTGTAGCCATCTGCATATCACCCAACATGTTTACTTATAGATTTACTACCACAAATAAGGGAAACCATGCAACCTTGTTCCTCTGGGTCTAGCCTACTTTACTTAAGTATAATTTTTTCCCAAGTCTTCCCATTTCCTTATGAATGATACAAATATCATTCTTTCTAATGGATGAGTAAATTCTATTATGTATATATACCATATTTTCTTGATCCACTCGTCTATTGAGGGGCATCTGGCCATAAAGGAAATTCAAGTCAAACCAACACTGAGATTGCACCTCACCCCAGTTAGAATGGCCATTATCAAGAAAATACACAACAAATGCTGGCAAGGATGTAGCCAAAGGGAACGCGAATACACTGTTTGTTGGTAAGCTTATTCAAAAACTCTGGAAAGAAATATGGAGGTTCCTCAAAAGCCTAAACAGCACTACCCTATGACCCAGCAAGAGCCATAGCCAAGATATAGAATCAGTCCAAATGCCCTTCAATGAGCTTGACACTCTTAGTCAGCTTTCTTGTTCATATCTGGCACTCTATCACCAGAGACAATGCCTCTAGTATAGCATTTTGCTGGTGAATTAGAAATGGAGTCTCTTAGACTCTTCTGTCCAGGGTGGTTTTGAACTGAGATCCTTCAGCTCTAGGCCTTCTGAGTAGCTAGTTACACCACTTCCTAGTCTGTAGGAGCAAGGAAGAAGATGTGAAAGACCGTATACTTCTTTCTGGAAGCATAGAGGAGGGAAAGAAGTTTCGAGTCCATACTATACTGAGTGCTGCCCTTCCTCCACTAGATTTGTCCTGCCTGAGTATACTGAGATAAAGGTTTTTATATGTATTTTCACATCTCAAGGTAGTAGGAAATCTCAATTTCAAGGATAATCATTGAAATTCCTGTGACATCTCAAAAGTGAAAAACAGAAAAGACCTTTTAAGTATTAGAATTGAGTCACTTAGGATTTTAGACTATATTTTCAAAATGTAATCTATCTATATATGTTATCAAATTGCTTTGATCTCCAGGCTTTCTAGCTTGATTCTTAACAAGAGTATGTGGAACCATTTTTAAGTTCAGTAGTCTGCTATGATACTCACATTGACATAAAGGCCCTACCTAATGGAATAAAACAATTGGTTGGGATTGAGCAATGCCTGTGAGAGTTAATCTCAAACCTGAGATGCCCAGGGAAAACATGAGAAGTTAGATAAGAAAAAGAAAGCCAGGTGCTGGTGCTCATGCCTGTAATTCTAGCTACTCAGGAGTCTGTTAGGATTGAGATTTAAAGGCAGCCTGGGCAGGAAAGACTGTGACACTCATATCTCCAACTAACCAGCAAAAACCTAGAAATTATTACCAATTATTAGCAACTAAATTATTCCTTACTTTTTTAAGTATCATGACTGAATAAATAATAAAGTATTAATTGAAAATTAGTCAACGAATTATAATTGTGTATAATTTTATAATATGAAAATCATACACTACTAATTTAATTGTTACTTTTATAACAATTTGAAGGGTGGGGGGGAGGGAGACACAGGACATTGACTAAAGGACAATGTCCAGGGAGAGAGAGAGAGAGAGAGAGGAACCATAGACAAAAAGGTAAACTGAATGAAAGCAAAAAAGAAAATCTTACATTGAGAAGAAAAGGAAAATATATTTAGCCCATTACTTTCTAAACTCTAAATTTGCTTTTATCTTTTCTTTTTTGTTTCTGGGGGTTGAACCCAGGACATTGCACTTGATGAGCAAGCATTTTGCCACTACATCCCAGCCCTAAATCCTAAATTTTAAATATGTAGTTAACCAGTCTTCCTGTTCCCTTTCAGAATTATAGCATTCAGCCGGCCTGTGAGGTATGAAGATGTGGAGCACAAGGTGACTACAGTATTTGGGCAACCTCTTGATCTACATTACATGAACAATGAGGTGAGAAAGACATAGTGTGGGGACAAGAGGGACAGTTGCCTGCCTTTTCCTCTCTGTTTAACTGAGCATTTTCTAATTTGTTTCTTTAATATCCTCCTGCTGAAACCCCTTTTGTAAATTTCAACAACTGAAATTTTTGTTTATTTGCTGGAGGGCGGGGGGGGCAGTTTGGGGCTTGAACTCATGCCCTAGGCTCTGTCCCTGAGCCTCTCTGTGTTCAAGACTAGTGCTGTAGCCACAGTGCACTTTCAGTTTTTTCTGAGTAGTTTATTGGAGATAAGAGTCTCATAGCTAGCACCAATGGCTCCTGCTTATAATCCTAGCTACTCAGGAGGCTGAGCATCATAGTTCTAAGCCAGCCAGGGCTGGAAAGTTCCCGGGAGACTCATCTCCAGTTAACTACTCAAAACAAAACAAAACAAAACAAAAAACCCATACAAGTGAAGCTATGGCTCAAGAACTCAGAGACAGCTCCAGGACTGGCAAAAAAAAAAGTCACAGACTAGGATTACAGGCATGAGTCACCTGCACCAGTCCTTGTTTTTGTTTTTCTACATTGGAGATTATACAGCTATTTCCCTCCCCTTACTTCTTCAGTACAGGTAGTTCTAAAATTCCATTGTGGAATATGTTTGGTTACCAAGACCACAGCTTATTTTTGTTTATCTTACATTTTTAGTAGTGTCTTTCTAGCACAGCCTGAACAAGATGCAGAAAATTTAGCCAGGGTTGGGGAGGTATGATTATAGTCATAAATGCTAGATTATTCTCTCAGAGTTTAATATCTGATTATAGCTTATTTATTTCATTAGTATCTATCCATTGATTTATTTAACCACTCCTTACCCTACTCCAACAGTCCTTATTTATTCCTGCTTTGAACTTCATCCAGGAAGAAATTCTTTTTTCTTTCTTTGTTGTTTTTTTGGGGGGTCCGGTCGTGGGGCCTGAACTCTGGGCCTGGGCACTGTGCCTCAGCTCTTCAGCTCAAGGCTAGCACTCTACCACTTGAGCCACAGCGCCACTTCCAGCCTTTTTCTTTTTGCTTATGTGGTGCTGAGGAATCGAACCCAGGGCCTCATGCATACAAGGCAAGCGCTCTACCACTGAGCCACCTTCCCAGCCCCATCTTTTCTTTCTCTTTCTCTTTCTCTCTCTCTCTCTCTCTCTCTCTCTCTTCCTTCCTTCCTTTCTTCTTTTGCCAGTCCTGGGGCTTGAACTCTGGGCCTGGGTACTGTCCTTGAGCTTCTTTTTGCTCAAGGCTAGTGCTCTACCACTTGAGTCACAGCACCACTTCCATGTGTATGTGGTACTGAGGAATGGAACCCAGGACCACTTCCTGTGTATGTGGTACTAAAGAATGGAACTCAGGGCTTCATGCATGCAAGGCAAACAGTACCACTGAGCCACATTCCCAGCCAAGAGATTCTTTTGAATGTCAATTCTTCTCTATTATCCCAGCTCCAAGAATGCACTAAAAGCTAAATTTTCTTGGGTTGGTGTATATTTGTATATAATAAAGAACATGTATTTCAGGCTGAGCATAGTTATGGTGCATACCTGTAATCCCAGCTATTTGGGAGGTAGAGATGGGAAGATCACTGTTGGAGACTAGCCCAGCTGGAAAGTCCATGAGACTCTTATCTTCAGATAATCACCAGAAAAGCTGTAAGTGGAGGAATGGCTCAGGTAGTAGAGTCCTAGTCTTGAGCAAATAAGCCAATAAGAGCACAAAAAGCCAAAGAGTCAAGGCTCTGAGTTTAGGCACCAGTGCAAGCACAAAAAGCAAAATAAAACAATAACAACAACAGCAGCAACAAAAGCCAGTCTTTGTAGTATATACTGTAGTTCTAGCTACTCAGATGGTCTATAGGTAGGAGGAGCTAAATCTGAGACAAGTCTTAGACAGTTAGCTTAAGACTCTATCTGAAAAAGTGTAAAGGCAGGAAGACTAGAGGTATGACTCTAGCAGAACAGTTGTGCTCAAGGTCCTAGGTTTAATCCTTAGCACTACAAAAAGAAAAAAAGAAGAAGAAAAAAGTATTTAGGGGCTGGGAAGGTGGCTCAGTGGTAGAGCGCTTGCCTTGCCTGCATGAGGCCCTGGGTTCGATTCCTCAGCACCACATAAGCAAAAAGAAAAAAGCCGGAAGTGGCGCTGTGGCTCAAGTGGTAGAGCACTAGCCTTGAGCTGAAGAGCTGAGGGACAGCGCCCAGGCCCAGAGTTCAGGCCCCACGACTGGACCCAAAAAAAAAGAAAAAAAGAAAAAAGTATTTAACCCAAGGGAGGAGTTGGGGAACAAGACATGAAAACTGAGCACATCACAGCTCTTTGACAGTTAGATCCTCACAGTATAAATTTTTGTTTTTACAGTACTGGGGATTGAAACTAAATCCTTGTATATCCTTAGTATACTGAGCCACTCCCCCAGTCCCTTCACTGTATATGTAGATTTATTTTATTGGATGAAAAATTACGTAGTGGATCACATCTGTAATCCCATCAACTCAATTTGGGACTCAGGAATCAGGAGGATCTTGATTTGAGGCTAGTTCAGGCAAAAAAATTAACAAGACTTGGGCTGGGAAGGTGGCTCAGTGGTAAAGTGCTTGCCTTGCATGCATGTGGTGCTGTGGCTCAAGTGGTGGAGTGTTAGCCTTGAGCTGAAGAGCTGAGGGATAGAGTCCATGGCCCAGAGTTCAGGCTTCATGACTGAACAAAAAAAAATTTAACAAGACTTCATCTCAACAAATAAACCAGACTTGGTGGTACTCACTGTGATCCCATCTACATGGGAGGTATGGGTAGGAAGATTGCCAAGCCAAGGCCTATCACTGAAAATTTCTATGTAATAATAATAAGTAAAAAGGGCTGAGGATGTGATTCAGGTAATAAAGCACTACCTAGCAAGTCTGAGGTCCTGAGTTTAAACCATAATACTGCTGAAAAAATAAAAATTAAAAAAAAATGATCAGGGCTGGGAATGTGGCTTAATGGTAGAATGCTTCTTAGCAAGCAAGAAGCCCTGGTTTGATTCCTCAGTACCACATAAACAGAAAAAGCCTGAAGTGGCTCAAGTGGAAGAGTGCTAGACTTTAGCAAAAGAAGCTCAGGAACAGTGCCTAGGCCCAGCGTTAAAGCCTCAGGACTAGCAAAAAAAGAAAAAAAATTATCTATAGTTTCGGGCTAAAATCTATAGATACTGATGTTTTTTGTTTACTTGTTTGATTTGGTTTGTTTATTCATTTGTTGTGCTTTAGGGATTTTCTATGTTGGTGACATTAGGTTTTCGATGGCATTGAGGTTAAACTCAGGTCTCACCCTTGCTAAAAACAATGTGCTATTACCTGAGCCATGCCCCCCCAGCCATGCCAGACTTATTTTTAGTTTTTGTTTGTTTTGTTTATTTTGGCAAACTGAAGTTGATTTTTTTTTATGATTTCCTTTTCCTTTATCCATGTCTTAGCTCTCTATCCTGCTGAAAAACCAAGATGATCTTGATAAAGCAATTGACATTTTGGATAGAAGCTCAAGCATGAAAAGCCTTAGGATATTGCTACTGTCCCAGGACAGAAATCATGTAAGTAGCCCTTGTTGTGTCCCAGCTGCTTTTACTCCTTCAGTCTTGCACCTTGCTTCCTTGACAGATGTTGGTATTCCTCAACTACTGTCAAAGCCAGAGCATAAGCAAAGCCCAACCTCTGTCTTTGTGGCCAGTGAGCATTCTGGATTTGATTTCACTTACAACCAGATTATCATGATCAAATTTATAACTAAAGGTTATTTGGCTAATATTAGAAAGGAAGGAAAAACTGTTTATAATAACAGAAGTTTATGTTTTTCTGTTAAAGTATATGATCCCTACATTCCTCTGATCCCCTGACATAAAGTTACAGGCAACTGGTTCTTTATACACCTGCATTCCCATTCCTGAGAGTTCGCTTGGTTGCAGCTAAAGCTGCAGTACCAGAGCTATTGGAAAGATGACCATGTGAGCTCTGACACTCATAGTAATGAAAGGATAAATGCCACACCAAGGCCTTTCTTCGTAAATTAAAATTTTTTCCTTTTTGTTTTTCTTTTTTTGTGTTTTGTGTGTGTGTGTGTGTGTGTGTGTGTGTGTGTGTGTGTGTTTTGCCAATCCTGAGGCTTGAACTCAGGTCCTGGGAACTATCCTTGAGCTTCTTTTGCTCAAGGCTAGCATGCTACCACTTGAGCCACAGTGCCACTTCAGGCTTTTTCTGTTTATGTGGTACTGAGGAATCAAACCCAGGGCTTCATGCATGCTAGGCAAGCACTCTACCATTAAGCCACATTCCCCAGCCCCATTAAAAAAAATTATAATAATAAAGTCAATGTAAGTTTTTATAAACCTTAAAAACAACTATTTTACATAATCCTATTACCCATAACACTTGATTTATTTTTACATACTCCTCTTCAGTCTTTGATTTTAAGTGTATATACTTTATGTAAATGTTTTCATGATATTCATTGCATGTGTATTGTCATGAATATTTTTCTGATATCTGTCATAATTATAACTTATACATAAGGCCTCTGAATAAATATCCCATAATTATATCAACTATTTTTTGCTACTGTTGAGAAACTTAAGCTGCCCCTGAGTATTGCATTTATAGAGATTTGCATTCAGACTTAACAGTGGATTGAGTGTAGTGGTGCATGCTTATGGGAATATCACTTGGGAGCTGAAGCAGGAGGATAGCTTTCAAAGCCTGCCTGGGCTACATAGCAAAACCCTGTCTCAAAAAATGAAAACAAGGGCTGGGAAGGTGGTTCAGTGGTAGAGTGCTTGCCTTGCATGCATGAGGCCCTGGGTTCAATTTCGTAGCACCACATAAGCAAAAAAAAAAGCTGGAAGTGGCGCTGTGGCTCAAGTGGTAGAGCACTAGCCTTAAGCTGAAGAGCTGAGGGACAGTACCCAGGCCCAAAGTTCAGGCCCCACAACCAACATAAAAAACAAAACAACCAACAGAGGATACTCTTAGGAGAGAAACACAAAGGCACAATGCGTTTGCATCTCTTCATATTTATATAAAATAATATGTATATTAAATGAACTCTAAGGGGCTGGGAAGGTGGCTCAGTGGTAGAGCCCTTGCCTTGCATGCCTGAGGCCCTGGGTTCAATTCCTCAGCACCACATAAAAGAAAAAAAAAAGCCGGAAGTGGCGCTGTAGCTCAAGTGGTAGAGCACTTGCCTTGAGCTGAGGGACAGTGCCCAGGCCCAGAGTTCAGACCCCCACGACCAGACCCAAAAAATAAATAAAATTCTAAAATAAATAAATAAATAAATAAATTCTAAGATATGGAAATGAGGAAATGAGATTTTTCTTTTTTTGTTTTAATTTTTTTTGATGATTCTGTCTTTTCTTTTTGTATGGTATACTCACGTGTATATCTTCAGGAGGGTGGGAGGGAGGAGAACTTGAGGGAAAAAGAATGAAAAAGTATAGTAGTGGAGCTCACCGAACACTGATGAGAGGGTACTACTATGCACCTAGTGGGTAGAGATGGGAGGGAGTAACTGGGAGAGAATGAGGGAACAGAAGACACTGTAGGAAAGGAAATGTACTCATTATAATCCCTCTCTATGTCATTTTTATAATAACGAATTAAACAACAAAAACTAACCTTAAAAATGATGGTGATGAAATCTTTCTTTAAGAACTTCTTTGGGCCATGCACCAGTGGCTCAAATCTGTAATCCTAGCTTGTCTGGAGGCTGAGATCTAAGGATCGTGGTTTGAAGCCAGCATAGGCAGGAAAGTCCATGAGGCTCTTTTCTCCAATTAACCACCAAAAAAGGGCAAAAGTGGAGCTGTGGCTCAAGTGGTAGAGCACTAGCCTTGAGAACAAAGCTCAGGGCCAGTACACAGGCCTTGAATTCAAGCCCCAGATCTAGAGCTTCAAAACAGGATTCTCTAGGATTACACATGTGAGCCACCAATGCCCAGATCCACTGTCTTTTTAAGATACTTTATTGTCTCCTTTTTCCATTATCATAATATAGTAATCTTAGACTTATTTGAATACAATAAAACCAAAATAGTAACCGGGTGCTGGAGGCTTACGCCTGTAATCCTAGCTACTCAGGAGGCTGAGATCTGAGGATTGTGATTCAAAGCCAGCCCAGGCAGAAAAGTCAGTGAGACTCTTATCTCCAGTAAACCACTAGAAAACCGGAAGTGGTGCTGTGGCTCAAGCAGTAGAGTGCTTGCCTTGAGCTGAAGAGCTGAGGGATAGTACCCAAGCCCAGAGTTCAAGCCCTACGACCGACAAAAAAAAAAAAAGTCACTTTGTTTTGTTCCCTCTGGTTCTGACAAAAAAGTAAACTTCTAATCATTATATCTAAATATTGCCCATTTCTCTAGTTTCCTGTCAATAATTTTTATTACTGTCTTCCTACTATTTAAGTTGAAAATGTGAAGGATAACCTAAAGGGTAATTATTTCCAATTCTCCTAAAAGTGAGAAGCTCTATTCTGAAACCATCCGTCATTCTGTTTACCTGCTTTCCACTGGTTGGGTAGAGTTGCTTCTTTCTGGTCCCCTATTTTATGTTATTTTATGTCGGTCATGGGGCTTGAACTCTGGGTCTGGGCACTGTCCCTCAGCTCTTCAGCTCAAGGCTAGTGATCTACCACTTGTGCCACAGCACCACTTCTGGTTTTCTGGTGGTTTACTGAGATAAGAGTCTCAGACTTTTCCTGCCCCAGCTAGCTTTTGAACCATGATCCTCATATCTCAGCCTCCTGAGTAGCTAGGATTATAGGCATGAGCCACCGGTGCCCAGCTTATTGGCCCCCTATTTAAAAGTAGTAATACCATATGGTAAAATGTGCTTTCATTTCATTTGGTTTAACTTTGAGTGGTCCAGAGCAGACATTTCTCCATTGTACAACTTAGGAAAATTGAGACTGAGTAACTTTCCCAGGTAAGACATTAAATAATGAGAGAGCTGGTCTAAAATCCAGAGCTTTTGACTTGTAGTGAGTCCACTAGTTATCAGTTAAGGATCTTAACATTACTATAGTCTTTGGGCCCCAGCACAGTTATTAGAAGCAGAACAGAAAGCTTGTTGTCCAAATGTAAGAATTGAGCCATGTTCTGCACAGCTCAGAAAATAACCAAGAAAAGATAAGCTAGTAAAAGGTGTGGAGAAGACAAAAATTTCAAGGAGCTGAGATCACAGGTTTATGTGAGTAGTGTAAAAAGCTTGAAGCTCTTTAGTTAGGAAAGACAATAAGCATATTATATATAGTGTTTAAAGCATTAAAGAATACAAATAGGGCTAGGAAGGTAGCTCAGTGGTAGAGTGCTTGCCTAGCATGCATGAAGCCCATGGTTCGATTCCTCAGTACCACATAAATAGAAAAGGTGGGAAGTAGCATTGTGGCTCAAGTGGTAGAATGCTAGCCTTGAGCACTGAGTGGCTGAGGGACAGTGCCCAGGCCCTGAGTTCAAGCCCCAGCATTGGCAAAAAAAAATACAGATAATGAAAACAAGATTTATTCATCTATGTTTGGATGAGCCCTTGAATATTGATTGAGGATTCTTTTAGAACAAAGAAGTAGAAATCTTTTATAATAGGTTATAAGCATGGCTCTATTATTCTGAAATTGTATAGCTTCATAACACCTTCATAACTTTAAAAAAGTATCTAAATGAATTTATGGGTGATAAATCTGTAAATTTCATTAACTTAGGTATTTCCACACCTTTGGTAATTCTCATGGTCTTATGTGCAAATATTTCTTGGTACCACCATTAAAGCTGAGTAGGATGCTGTTGGAGAGCTCCTATTTGTCATTCTTCATCTTATATCCTTACATACGAGACTAAAGCAATTTTCTCCTCCTTTTTCTCTTGAATAATTGAATTTATTTATTCCTTTTGTATCCTGTCACCAATCACCAAGTCTTTTATTAAGATCATTTGTGAGTTGACTTTTTTTTTTTGGTCAGCCATGGGGCTTGACTCTAGGCCTGGGTGCTGTCTCTCTTCAGCTCAAGGCAAGCTCTTTACCACTTGAGCCACAGTGCCACTTCCGGTTTTCTGGTGGTATATCGATAAGAGTTTCACGGACTTTCCTGCCCGGGCTGGCTTTGAACCACAATCCTCAGATCTCAGCCTCCTGAGTAGCTAGGATTACAGTCATGAGCCACTGGCACCTGACCTGAGTTAACTTTTGTAACATATTTTTCTGCTGACCTCTTGTCTTCCAGTCACTGCAGATCTTTATGTATGTGGTTTCATGGGAAATTTTCATATTATTTGTGTCAATCACAGCACACTGCTACCCACAGAGTCCTTGAGGTACTCATGGAATAGGCAGATGCCACTCACTATCAGTTGCTCAATTCAGAGGTGTAAACTCCTGTCATTCTAAAACTACTTTAATTCTTTTATTTTTGAGGTCTAAAAATTTCTCTCCTATTTCTGAGTCCTAGTCAGGGTTCCATGAGTCATTTGTGTTTGCCATGTCATTCCTCTTTGTCCTCTTAAATAAAAAATTTATTCTTTGAGCCCTATCCCCGGAGATCCTGTTGTATTTGGTCTGAGATGTCTTAAGCTCCAAAGGCAGTTCTAATAGCAGTTAGGTTGGAGAATCATTACCTGAAACTGAAGCATGTCTCACCTCAGAAGAGCTTACTATTTAGAATATAGCCGGTGGACCAGCAGCATGAGCATTACCTGAGAGTTTGTTAGAAATGCAGGCACTGAGCTGGGCATGGTGATGAATGGCTGTAATCCCAGCATTTGGGAGAGTGAGGCAAGAGGATTCCAAGTTCAAGGTTAGCCTGGTTAATATAATGAAACTATGCCCATTTTCCCCCCACTCCCACCTCCTCACCCCCCAGAAAAAGGAAAAGAGCTGGGAGCATGTCTCTAATTCTAGCTTTCCAGGAGGCTGAGATCTGAGGATTCTGGTTTGAATCCAATCCAATAAGGAAAGTCCAAGAGACTCATCTCCAGTTAACCATCAAAAAGCGGAAGTGGAGCTATGACTTCAGCGGGAGAGCACTAGCCTTGAGTAAAAAAATAAAAATAAAAAAACACCTCATGGCAAGCACTCAGGCCTTGAGCTCAGGCCCAAGACTACTCCCTTCTCTCCCCCTCCCCCCAAAAAAAGTGAGAAGCTCTGTTCTGAAACCATCAGTCATTCTGTTTACCTGCTTTCCACCTATTGCTACAACTTCAGACTTCCCTTTTACAAATTTAAGATTGTACTGGCTGTTAAACCTGTTTTCCTGTCTCAGCTTTTAGATTTTAAAACTAAGGGATTAAAATAAAATTTTTAAAAAGCCAGTTCATTTTGAAAAAAAAAGTAAAGGTTTGCAGTATATGTTCATTGTTACATTTCAAATGAATGCTATTAGCTGGATGTGGTATTACATGCCTGTAATCTCAATGCAGGGAGGCTGAGGAGCGGAAGAGTTTGAGGACAGCCTGGATTACAGAGGGAATGTGAGACTAGCCTGGACTATAGTTAGACATGCCTCAGGAGGAGGAGGGGCAGGGAGAGGGAGAGGGAGAAGGAGATCAGGTCACACCACCATGAATTTACCACCCACCATGTAAGAGGCCCTGAATCTGAATAGGTTTTCTTGGGAACTCATCAGTGTTCTAAAGTGCAGCGCTCTGGCTCTTCTTTAAGCCTGTTTCCCAGTGTGTTGCTTTGGCTGTTTTTTCCTTTTTGACTCTCAGCAGAGAACTATTATATATCAGAGGCTTCAGCATGAACATTTACTTCCCCTTGGTTTTGACTTCCTGTTAGAGCAAGAGTTTGTCAAGACAGCCCTACACATGATAAAAGTGTGGCATAGGGAAACTAGAGAAGGCTGCTTGGCATCTGCACTTACCCCTGGGAGCAGGATGCCTTTTCCTGAAGGACAGGATATAGAGATTGTTTAGATGGGACCCCCCCCCAAAGGGGAGGGTAGAAGAGTTAAAGAAGTAGAAACTTTGACCCAAATTACTGATAAATCCTGAGCTCCCATTCCCAATCTCTGTCATTCTCTACTTATTTGTAATCACATCTTGGCATCACTTGCTCTCCTCCAGTGTTCAGTTTTAAACCTTTCTTGGTGCAAAGCCTTTCTCCCCTGCCCCCAGCGCCCCTTTGTTACTTTGACTTTTTACCTGCTGGTTTGAGTGGGCTGGTGCAAGGGGGTAGGTGGGGGTGGACTAGGATGGCAATGATCTAATGCTGAGGTCCTTGACCTCCAGCATAATGGTGCCAGTAAGGTCTGCCCTGAAGGCGGGGCAGACTCCTCCCTCCTCCTGGCTAAGTCTCCGCCCAGTGTCACCTTGGAAACTGGAACACCTGGAGGAAATCACCTCCACCCCCCCCATACCCGCCTCCCATTGGACTGTGGGAGGGTCCCAAGCCCTGAGATCACATCCACCATGCACGGGGTAGGGGCAAGCAGTTTGGCAAAATAAACTCTTCCTGCCTGAGTACTGTGTGTTCTGTTTATTGGCTACCTAATTAAACCTACCTACTTAATTTACCTAATATAAATTTGCCACCTCCGTGCATGGTGGAGAGGCATGGCCAAAAGGGGCGGGCTGAGGTCCGGTCTGGGTTTAAGTAGGGAAGGGGGGCGGGGAGAAGGTACGGCCAGGTGAGAGAAGGTGTGGCCACACAGATGTTGGATGTGACCTCAGGGCCTGGGACCCTCCCAGTGGGATGTGGGGGAACCCAAGATGTGACTATGGAGGATGGGAGGTAACTTCCTCCAGGTGTGCCAGTTACCTAGGTGACACAGGTACTTGCCAGAGACTTAGCCAAGAGGAGGGAGGAGTCTGCCCCGCCTTCCCAGGGTGGACCTTACCTGCCTATGATAGCTTTTCCTGTTGAGCATGATCCTGAGGTCATAATTTATATAATTTTATCAGAAATTGAGTCATTTCATGTAAATCCTGATATTTTAAGCAATGGAGATCTTAGATAAATTTTAGGGATTGATTATAGTTGGGTAAGAAACAGCATATAGAGTTAATTTTTTTCTCTTTTTTGGCATTACTGGGGTTTGACCTTGGGGCCTCACACTTGCTTGACTTGCTTTACTAAGCTGGCTCTACCACATGAGCCATGCTTTTAGCCCTGCTTTTTGCTGGTTATTTTGGAGATGTAGTCTCATGGATCTTTCTGCCGAGGCTGGCCTTGAACATCAATTCTCCAGACCTGTCTTGGAAGTTAACTAGAATAGCAAGCATGAGCCATTGTTACCTGCTCTCTGGAATTTTTTTTTTGTCAGTAATGGGGCTTGAACTCAGCCTGAAAGCTGTCCGTCAGCTGTTTAGCTCAAGGCTAGCGCTCTACATCTTGAGCCACAGCACCATTTCCAGTTTTCTACTCATGGATGTTCCTGACCAGGCTGGCTTTGAACCACAATCCTCAGATCTCAGCCTCCTGAGTAGCTAGGATTACAGATGTGAGCCACCAGCACCCAGCTCCTAGAACTATTTTTTAAAACACATATTTAGACGAGTGCTAGTGGCTCTTGCTTGTAATCCTAGCCTTTCTCAATCAAGGATCACAGTTCAAAGCCATCATGGGCAGGAAAGTCCATGAGAGTGTTACCTCTAGTTAACCACCAGAAAACTGGAAGTGGAGCTGTAGCTCAAAGTGGTAGAGTGCAAGAGCTGGTACCACATAAACAGAAAGCTGGAAATAGTGCTGTGACTCAAGTGTTAGAATGCTAGCCTTGAGCAGAAAAGCTTAGGGAGAGGGCCCAGGCCCTGAGTACAAGCCCCACACTGAAGAAAAAAAAAATTAGCCAGCTAAGCTGTGGTATATAGCACTAAGAAGGCTGAAGCAAGAAGATCGAAAATCTGAGGCCAGCATGGGCTAAGTAGAGACTATGTCCGAAAAAAATAAAGTTGGGCACTAAGGGTTTATACCTGTAATCCTAGCTATCCAAGAGGCTGAGATCTGAGGATCATTATTCAAAGCCACCTGGGGCAAGAAAGTCTTGTGAAACTCTTATCTCCAGTTAAGCAGCGGAAAAGCCAGAAGTAGAGCTCTGAATCAAGTGATAGAGTATTAACCTTGGGCATAAAAGCTCAAGGACAGCATCTAAGCCACGAGTTCAGCCCAGGACTGATACTAAAATAAAACATGTTTTTAGCAACCAAAATTTTATAGGGCAGAGAAATTGCCATCGTTTTGTGTCCTTGTCACAGCAGGTGATCGTTCTGCTGAAATAATTTCCTGCTATTCTTTCTAAGCTCTCTAGAGAGTTTTAGGAGAGGGTATTTACGGCTTTCTCTCCTATTTGGCAGATCTTTACAGGAATGCCTGTTATTCCTCCATATCTGGGTCATTATTATTAAACTGGGACACCAGGTTTTGTTAGTCATATATCACTGAAGCTGTAAAACTCTATCAAGCAAATAGTGATTTGCCAAGACATTTTGGGGTGTGAGATTTGGAGGGAAGCCAAGTAGCTCATGAATTCAATAAATGAAGGTAGCTGAAAGTGTGGCAAATCCTAAGAGAAAGCCAGGAAACCTTTATAGGCCTACCTATATGAAGATCTACCTTAGCCTTTTTCCTCTTCTCTTACAGACCAGTTCCTCTTCCCACTCTGGAGTGTCCAAACAGGTTCGGATCAAGGCTTCTCAATCTGCAGGGGACATAAATACCATCTATCAACCCCCTGAGCCCAGAAGCAGGCACCTCTCTGTCAGTGAGTATTTCTACCCCCCCACCCTATTTTATCTGACTATATCTTAAAATTTTAATAGGTATTTGTTAAACATTGTGTATTGACTGTTACTCTGCAGAGTAATTCTCTATGCCTTTATTTGGGCAGAGGAGACTAATAAAGAAGCAGCTGGGATGGTATCGGGACTCTCAAGTACCTTACAATATAGTGTAATGTCATAATGGCATGATTATATTTCTTTTAAGCAGCCTAGAGAAAATTATCTCAGACATCTGTTTGGAGAATTCCAGTAGAGTCTTCATTTATTTGTTGTATGTTTGTTGGATGCCAGTCCTGGGGCTTTTTTCCTCAGGGCTGGCCCGTTAGTTACCACTTTAGCCCGCACTTTTACTTCCAGGTTTTTTGCTGGTTAATTGGATATAATATCTTAGATTATCTAAAAAATCTTAGATTTGTCTATGTGGGCTGGCTTTGAACTTCAATCTTCAGATCTCAGTTTTCAGAGTAGCTAGGATTACAGGTATAAGCCCCCAATTTATTTTTGACCATTCTTATTTTTGACTATTCTTTTCCCCAAAGGACAGAGTCAAGTTAGAAAATCAGGTTTAAGTTTGAATTTGGCCTTGAACTTCTTGCTTATTATTCCTGAGAAGTATTTGAGGAAGTATTTTGAGGAAAACACTGGCCAGTGAAACTCTTGGGAAGTCAAACTAAGTTGTCTTGGAAAGATAAAATAGTAACATAGTATGTCTAATTAGCAAGAAGTCTGTGTAACTGTTGCCAGGCCTCCCCAGGAAAGGAGTCTAATACATCAGTCCTCTACATTATACCAGATACCACCAAGAGCCTATGTGGAGTCTGGAGAAATTAGATAAGTGGTGAGTGTGTAGTGTAGGAAGAGAAGCTTATCTTGCTATCTTTTATCTTAGTGTTATCCTCTATCAAATTGTATTTTTTTTTGTTGTTGTTCTCTCATTACTAAGTATCTACAGTATACCAGACACTTTGGAAGCAAGGTCACATCCTTGTTATGAAGTGACTGAAGGATGGATGCTGCTGCAAGTGTATTAACAGGGAATGGGACCTGATCTCAGGGCCAGGAAAGCTTTAGGCTACCACCTAGAGCACAGAAGGGAGCCAGACAAAGAAGTATTAAATAGCATGTGCATGGGCCTAAGGGTAGGAGATAATGGACTGTTTGATAAAAAGAAAGCAATCCAGCTGGAAATCTGGGATCAGAGGAAAGAAAGGTGGAATTTGAGTAGAGAAGGGGATATGGTCTTATGGTCCATGGTAACGATTTTATTTTTAATCCTTATGTTGAAAGCAGTAAAGTTGAATTATTTATCTCATGCTTATAATCTCAGCCACTTTGGAAGCAGATATAGGAAGATTATGGTCCCAGGCTATCCCAGGCAAAAGTATGAGGCCCTGTTTGAGAAACTAAAATCAAAAAACAATTAGAGAAGCCAGGCGCGGTGGCTCACACCTGTAATCCTAGCTACTCAGGAGGCTGAGATCTGGGGATCATGGTTCAAAGCCAGCCCAGAAAGGAAAGTCCATGAGACTCTTCTCTCCAATTAACCACCAGAAAACAAGGAGTGGTGCTGTGGCTCAAGTGGTAGAGCACTAAACTTGAGCTGAAGAGCTCAAGGACAATGAGCTCAGGGACAATGCCCAGGCCCAGAGTTCAAGCCCTAAGATTGACAGTAAAAAGAAGAAAAGAATAAACAGAAGCTTAGAATAGGCTGATGATAGCAATGAAGAAGGAACAGGTGGATTTGAGGCATATAGAAGTAAAACAGAATTGTAGTGGTTTGAAAGTGTGAGCCTGGAGACTGTAAAGAATCCTTAAGATTCTTCCAGGGCGTCTATGCACTCAGTTTCTTTTCTTTATTGCCTTAAATTTTTTTCTAGGGCTGGGAAGGTGGCTCAGTGGTAGAGTGCTTGCCTTGAATGCATGAGGCCCTGGGTTCGATTCCTCAGCACCACATAAGCAGAAAAAGCCGGAAG